AATGCTGGAACTGTGTCGCTAAAGATATTCACGAATATTCTTATTATACCGTTTATCACTGGATTATGCACCACACTCGCACGCTGGTGTCATGGTAATATTGAGAAATTCGATATGTTTGAGATACTCGAGGTATTGCTGAGCGTTTCATCGAGACATCAACCGAAAACTACAGCAGGAAGATTAATATTTCTCGGTGTTTTGCTCGTATCGATGAGATATGCTTTAGAATTCTACACAGATCTGACGGAAAATCTTGTGAATGACGACGTGCCATTCGACACTCTCGAAGAAATCATCGACTATCCACTAGTACCGTACGTCAACAAAATTTTATTAAATGACGTCCTTAGCGGTGACGATTCGGTAACGGAAATTTTAAGATCGAAAATCAACACGATCGGTAGTATAATGGATTGTATTAATAAAATGATTGCACAGAAGAAGTTTGCGTGTATGACTCCAAAAAAAAATGCGGAAATGCGCTCGAAAATTTATAAAAATTCTGATGGTTTACCAATTATGAAGATTGCAAAACCAATAATATTGTCACCGCGATGGGTTTATATCTTTGAAAGATCATCGCCTTTTATGCATGTATTTAAAAAGCATTTCAACCGGCTGTACGAGACAGGGGTGTTCTATTATGTAGTGCATCAACATGCGTATTATCATCAATCGGTTTCAGTGAACAAAGACGAAGATGAAGAAACTCAGGGAGCACTTTTTATGCAGCTACTTTTCATACTTGTTATTGGTTATAGTTCGTGTACGGCAGTTTTTCTTTTAGAAGTTCTGTTTGGATTTCTGCGGAAATATTTACGTAGAAAAGGATTGACATTTTCAAAAAAGTATTTTATCGTAAAAAAATAAATTTCCACAACTTAAGCGTTTACTTATTATTCTGAGTGATCGACTTTCGAGGACTCGCATCCAAAAGATTATATATGCATGGGACGACAAGTTACTTGCTGTCTCAATATTAGAAGTAAGCTCTGATAAGAAAAATGTGTTACTTATGATATAATACTTCAATCCATTTGATAGAATTCTCACGGAAGAGTACTTTAACTTAAATATTTCATTATTTCCGAATAAGCTTCACAACTGCAATGCATTCAGTCTAGACATATCTGTTTTTAACTTAGAACCACAAATTGAAGTAAAAGTGAACGATTAGGTTATAGAAATGTTAAAGGTCCCTATGTGAACTTTATTCCGATATATGCGTCTACGATTCTAAACTTCTTATACGATACCCCATACCAATAGATATATTTTGTTGACAAAAATACTGGAAGTCAGTTTCGGCTGATTTGAGACAGTGCTTTTCACAACCTAAATTCCAAAATTTTCACTTTCAACAATCAACGTTACTGTGTCATCTTTTATGTATCTTTACGTTACATTTTCGACTTTATATTTATATTTATATTTATAAATTTAATCTGTGAAAAAATTGTCAAGAAATTACACAGTAACATATTAGCCGAAATAACTTCACATTACTTCGTGTAAAATATCGATTTATGATTCTGTTTATTATTGATTATATTTCTTCGAAGCTAAACTTGATAATATAAATATTCAATAAGTTTGTATGTCTTGAGAATAAACGTAGTTAAGCGGATCAAGATTATTTTACAATTTTATTAAGGTTAAGCCGTTGGGTGAATGTGGATTTTATTCTTTTCTTGATGTCTACGAATTACTTTACTTTTTAATCATTTAATCAGTCGATACTAACTTGAGTTATTTATTAGTACCAATTTGCTATTTGTGCTATCAATTCGTTTACAGACCCTTACATGTCGTTACAAATAATAACCCGTGTGACCATAGTTCAGCCAATCAGATCTCGAATAAACTAGCTTTAGTCTTTATCTCTTACAAACCTATCTCTTTTTTATAAAAGGAAAGGATACTTGGAAATTTGTGGATAAAATTGTCAATGTAGAAAGTAACTTTAAATTGTATTTATATTTTCTCATGAAAATAAATATGTTTGTTAAGCAAATAAATGTTTTCTCAATCATATTGATTTTTTCAGATCGATATGTCAAAGTTTCTTTGAAACGTACCAAATGAATATGGAAATATATCACAAAATTGATTACGTTTAGTCCTCGCGGAAAAGAAAAATAAATATCACATTTAGCGGAAAATTCGTAAAGCACAAAGTAATATTCCCGCGCCGATGTGTTTCAATTTCGAAGGAAATTGCTCGGCTACGGTGTAGTAAAGAGAGCGAACGAGCGAGCGGAAGGAGACTTGTGATGAATTAAAGTCTATAATTTTTCCACGAACTCTGTAGTGGCCGGATGAATCCTATTTATTCGTGTTCAGGAAATACTTCATTTTTATAATTTCTTATCTTAGCCCCCATCTCGTTCCTTCATTGTATTCTATACGCATTATAGTCTTCGATCGCTAGCACACGCAATCTGGATAATTGAAAATAATGCTTCGTTTGGTTGGGCTATTTTCTTTCGCTTGATCGCATGTATTGAAGCGATTTTGATTAATCTAAGCTATTACATGCGAAGCCATTGTTTTGCATTGACGAGAAACTTCATTTTTATGTGTACTATTTTTTAAATAATATTATCTATAACAAATTGTGGTATATTTATCAAATGACAAAGTCATACCAATTTCTTAATTTCAGAACCTTTTGATGGTCCAACAATGAAAACGTGAAAACGTGCACCATCGAAAAGAAATAATCCAAAGTTATCAGATGTTGTATCATATTTCATTCTCAGTTGTAAGTTTAGATTTTAAGTCACATGCCAAGAAGCAGAATAAGTTAGGTTAAAAAACACATAGATACACGAGCACGAGAGATAGAGAGAAAGCAGTAAGTAGCTCTTCGGAAACAAGGTGCGAAAAGCGAGAAGGCAGGAGTAGCAAGTTTTTCGCGGGAAGGATGAAAATAAGGAGGGGCGGGGGAGAGAGGTCACGGAAGTAAGGTCCCTCATCAAATATGAATGGCCCAGGAGAATCACGCGAATAAAGAAGACACCGGCGTCTTGCCAGTGTGTATATACTCTTTGCCGCAGAAAACTTGAAAACTTGCAGCAGGATATCATCGAAATCCTGCTCGCGCGCGCAAGAGCGCGTCGAGTTTATCCTTCTATTTTCTCTCGTGCTCGATCACTCGATCTCCGCGTTCGCGCGTTTCCTTTTATTTTCTTGTTCGCGGCTCTGCTACTCTCTCTCTCTATCTTGCACCTACCGACAGCAACATTTCCTCTCTCCTTTGGCATATCAATACTCATTTCTAACTTACATCGATTTAGATAAAAAAGAATCATTCGTCTAATCGGGTATATTTGCCGCGGGAGGTTCATTTTATACTCTATTCGATATTTTCAAAACTTGTCTTATTATTTGGATATTGCGAACATTCGATAAAAGTTCACCAAAGTACAACGTACCTGTTAATTCAAATCCTAATTATCATAACAAATGTCTAACCATAATGATCCAAATTAATTTCTGTGAAAAAGAAATAAGCAAGCATTAGAAGCGCATATAAGAGAGACAGGTGTGCAAGGATTTTGCAAGAGAGAGAGAGAGAGAGAGAGAGAGATAAGGCGAAAATAAGAAGATCAGTGCTTGGCGCTCGCACGCGCAAAGTGGATGATCCGATGTCTATTAGAGCGAGAATAAGAAAGAGAGTCGAGCTAGACATTTCCCTCGGGGAAATCGCAGAGAGGAACTCTCACGGATTGATACGCAATTTCCATCGATTTTTCTCTTTCGTCTCTCACCCCGTTCAAACTCGATAATCGCAATACCTTGATAATAGAAAGTTATGCCTGCCAAACTATTCTGCAGGTGAGAAACGCGGAACAATTGCATTTATGCATGCTACTGTTTTATTCAGTTGTGTGGCACGGAAACGACTGTATAAAGAGATGAGTGTCTGCAACGTCATTTTTTTTACGTCATTATAAAAAGTGAGTGTCTCCGAATTGACGAATATATACGTGTATCCAAGGAAAACATTTGTCACTCAGAAAGCTGTAGCAGCGGCGCTGACCTGCTCTACTTTTGAAAATAGAAAAGCTTCGGATTTCAACTCGAAGAAGACATCTACATTCAATTATTTATGGTCCTATGACACCAGATTTTCTCTTCACTAGGGTATTTAGTTCTTTTTGCCAAACACCATGTCTCTTGTGCGATGTTGATATGAATTTTTTCATGGACATCGATTAATAAAATATCTATACTATAAAATAGATATCAAAAAAGCAATTTTAGTGGATTGGGTATATTTTTTCGTTGAGGAAAGAGGGAAAAATTGAAAAAAATTCGTTCGAGCGAAAAGAAAAAAGCCACACAAGTTTTTCATATGTGTAAGCTTTTACAAAGAAAAAAAGGTAACTTTCATAAGCTGCTCTATTCGACCATTTCAATTGCAATACAGGCGTATGCAAGAAAAAAAATGAAACGCTTCTACTCGTAATATGTTATGTCCTTTTCATCATAAATGCTCCCCCTCATCGATCGCCTTTTCTTTCTTTTTCAAACGTTTAATTCGTTCTTTTTTTGCTTTCTCTTTCTAATAGCCTCATTTTTCGCAGGGAGAAAGAGAGTGGACGCGGCTTTAAAAATTGTTGTCGGTCTGGCTCTTTTTCTCGGGCATTATTCTTTTGTCGTGAGCTGCATGAATGCGCGCTTGCCGCTGGCCAACTCTCCCTCTCTGGGTTGATTTTTAAAGCTCTTAATTTCTTGCGCGAAAGATTTTTTTTGATGTGTAAAAACTACCCTCGGGACATCCACCGTTGTACATTTCGTTATGAAAATTATTTCACTTCGACGATGAAAATCCACGAAAGCTTGATTAAACGCACGGAAGAGATTTTCTTTTTTCGGCCGGCAGAGAGAGATACGAGTAATTATTTTTAAGCGTGCCGAAGCCATTGGCGTCATTGATCATAGTGGCGGACAATTAAAACGATCGTCCGTGACAAGCGTGAATATCTTACCAAACTGAATTCCATGACTTTCAGCAGCCATAACGTGAGCGCGAGGTTGAGAATGACGACGAGAGCAAGGCTTAGCACTAGCACGTACAGGCATCTCCGTCGCCAGCCGTACACAGCCATACCTAAGCCTACTTTGTTGTTGTTACTCGTGAACTCGCTCGTTGTTGTTGTTGTTGTTGTTGCTGCTGCTGCTGCTGTGGTTGTTGTTGGCTGACGGATTTGACGGGGTGTACTGGCCGCGTCGTCTGACCAATTTGATTGCGTTCTTGTTATCCTGTAAAGCAGAATGTAAAGAAAGTTTTTTTGCTGTTTTCTTTTTTGTTCTTTAGTGATGATAAGTGATGGCGAATCGAAAACCTAAGTTCGATTTGAACCGTGCAGTAAATGCTAAATTGATACACTTCTAATTGCGAACTGAACGAAATGACAACAATTTTTAACGTGTTATGATGATGGATGTTAATTAAAGCTGTCAATTAGAACTGACGGATAACCTGTCCATTACTTGAAAAAAAAAAGAAAAATTCTTCTCTTTAATTAGTAATTTTCGCTTGGGATAACAATGCTCTGGCTGTATCCAGCAATACTGTACACAGTCGTTGAATAAATAATAATGCACGCACAGTAACAATGGATTGAAATTTAATCTGGAATAACGACGGCAGTTAATTTAACGCGCGACCGAAGTTTATCATGATAAAACGAAAAGCCCGAATGAGCGAAAGTGATAGCTACAATAATTCGTAGACTGCTCAGTGCTACAATTCTTGCGTCAGTAATCGGCAGCTTTAATTTGATGGTAAAAACTATTCGCGTTGGATTATAAAAATTAAAAGTATAGGTGAGAGATCTTGTCGTTTGTTTGATGACTAGGACTTTGTCGCTTTCTTATAAATAATAATTTATAATAAAAATTATATCTCGATTGCTTACATGCAGGAATTCACCATCCAACAGGAAATTCAAGATTAAAAAATACCATAACGAAAACAAGCAAACTATTAATTTAAAAAAAATGAAAGGCAAAGGTTATCTTGTTGAGGAAACAAAATGCACGAAGTAGAAATGACCTATTTTTACATTATAGTACGTAAAATCATAGTGACGCACGATAAAATATAATTATCGGTACCTTTCCCGTTACTCAAGTAAAAATTCAATAAAACATCTTAATAATTTTACAATGACTTGTGAAAAAAGATCAATCACAATTACAAAATCGTCATCTATGTAACGCTGGTCTTTCTCGCAGAAGACAGTAGCAGCATACGGCAGAGTAGCCAAAATAGGATTACGGGAACCTCGAGGAAATTTAAAAGCCAATTAGGCAATCACGATAAGAGATAAGGCGGCGGTGAGCGCGCAAAAAGAGAAGAACGCGCGCGCTCGCGAAGCCCAGAGTTATGCAAAGCTAAGCGCGAGAGCAAAATGCCCGACATAATTTCAAGCTCAACTAATCCCTCGCTCTAACGAAACTTATCTCCTGCCTTTATTTATATGCTCTCCTTTTTCCTGACTTTCTTTTATTTCTCAATTCGTCAATTGTTTTCCGGAGATTGGCGCTCCACGGATAGATTGCATTTTATTTTCTTGTGTTTGGGAAAATAGTAAAAATCATAAATGAGAGAAAAAATTGTTATTAGTTGATAATCGCGAAAAATTCCACAGATGTCATATTTAGAATTTTTTCATTTCCAATGTTTACCACAGTTGAAAATTCAGTATTATTTTTTATTACAGCGCACTTTAGAAAATTATTTGTAGATGTAAATGATGTTTTAATTCAAATTTTAGCAAATTAAAAATATCAAGTATTTGGTTCTCGAAAAAATAAACCAAAAGTGGCTTCTTTTTCTCTTCCTCCACCGTAAAGCCGTTAACAGTGTCCGGAGCGGACGCTAATTCAATCTGCCGTGTGATGGCCGTCGGCGAAAATCGATCCACGCTTCAGAGTAGGATTTTTTCTTTTTTTTCTTTTCGCGCATGCACACGCCAACCAATTACACTTCACAGATTTTTTGTTCTCTTATTTTTTTGTCGGATGGAAAAATTTTATAAGACTTCAGAGATATTAAACGTATATGATCACAAAATATTTAGCACGAAAATAATTGCATTTCCAACGATTTATACTCAACTATAAGCATTCAACGGCAGTGTCACGTTAATGATTTTATTCCGTTTGATAATTTGTCCAAATTGCATCATTTTTCTAATCACAAAAGTAAGAACAGAAGTCAAGTTATAGTGTGAATTCTCTTAGTATACCTAGAACATTTCTAATAATTTAAGCGATTTCCCTTGTCCATAAACTATCAAATCGAGTCCTGCATTCATTGTTGCGAAAATAGACAGAAATTAAAGCAATTAGATAGATGAGGACAAAAGCAGCTGCCGCGCAACTATGAAGTATGCACAAGGACGAAAAGAATACGAGAGAAAGAGAGAGAGAGAAATATCAATCTGGCTTTTCGCCACAATATTCTCTCCAAATATGTAGAGTATGGACGAACTCAGCCACACGGAGAGTGAGAGAGAGAGAGAGAGTCGATATTGATATTGAAAGGGAATGTCAAGAGAGGATTACCTGTCCGAGCGAGAAAAGTCCTGTTACGAGAAGGAGGCAATTGGCCGTTATGAGTGGATTTCATTTCGACAGCCAAATGACCATAGAAACCCGCTGCAACGATAATAATCGTTCGATTATACTAAGTGATGGATTTTTAGTGTTTCCGCTGATAGAATTATTCACGTCGTATGAAATACTTATATTCTCAAGAGTGGAACATTATCATCCCAGCTTTCACAGTACTCAAAATAGCCGCACGACCCGAATACCTATTTGTATTTCGATGACATTATTTATTCTTTCAACGACCCACTTCGGAACTCGGGATGATTTGATTTTCTCGTTTGAACATTCAAAGTTCAGAAATCTAGACTGGTAAAGGTCGTTCTAGTTACGTCGTAGGATCAATATACTTAGATTCATAACGCTACAAGAAGAATCGAAGTACAAGAGCAAGAAACGCTTGGCTAAGATATTATCTCTGTGGCGGGCTGATCGTTCTGGTCACTTCGTTAGCCGAGCGATTGTTTTGAAAGTGGAGGGGGAGGGGGCGGCGTAGAGAAAGCCGATCATTATCCGTGGCCAAGCGAAATGCCACAAGCTTGCGGTCTCTTTGCCAAGTGGATTTGTCTCTGCTAATCGCTCGACTAGCTAGCTGACTATCGACTCGAATCCTGCATTCATTGTTGCGAAAATAGACAGAAATTAAAGCAATTAGAGAGATGAGGACAAAAGCAACTGCCGCGCGATTATGAAGTATGCACAGGGACGAAAAGAATACGAGAAAGAGAGAGAGTTGCGACCCTCCTATTACCCTCGACAAACAATTTCGTTATTTGTAGAATCGTGTCGGAATTGAGTTCGTTAATTTGTTATTTGCTATTCGCTATTTCCTATTTGCTATTTGCAGAGCTAGAAAGTAGAAATTTATTATGAAAATTTAATATGAAAATTTTGTTCGTGAGAATTGAATTGAAGCTCACTAAATTGAAAAATTATCAAAATTTTTCAAGAATTGATTTGAATAGTCTATTTTTTGGTCGCGATTTCTCGCCAATTGGTGCGATATTTGGAAGGGCTGAAGACTTCGATGACGACCGATATTTTAAAAATCGAATTTAAAGCGCAGCGATTGTCGCTCGGGGGTCAAGATAATCATACTCGGGCGCACTTAGCCGTATTACGCGCTTGAAAGGGTAAAAAAACAGTCAGACGGGCAGCAAGCCAAATCCAGTAGAGCTATGTATGGGAGAATGGCTTGAGATATTAGCCGATTGTTTGTCGCGCTTTTGTCGTTGCGCGCACAATGGGAGGGAAGAAGGCTTTTATGTTCGTCGGAAACTGTTGCTGGTATGCCGCTTTGAGAGAGCGTTTAGCTGCGAGCTTTGCTTTATTTTTCTCGAAACTTCATTTGCTGTGGCAAGAAAAAAGAGCTCTCGGATATATACTGGCAAGTACTAAATGCCATTCTAGAGAGAAAGTTATGCCACGTTCAGCAAAGCAACGCTCAGAATCCCTCTGTAATATTCAGGTCGCGGTTAAGGTAACGGTCATTCGTCGAATGCGTATACATTCAGATCGAACGCCTTGGAGATTTGGCGTACAACTAAACAAAAAGAAACTATTAACTATGTTAGTTTCGCACTCGAGCGGATTAGCGTGTGCACACCGTGAATACAGTGCAGGGGCAAGTTCACTAATGGAATACAGTTTGAGACACGCGTATGTATAAACTTCGAAGATTTGTATCATCCGGGTTCATTTTAGCTACATGCTGATTATAATACGTTAACAAGAAGAGTGCCATATATATTTTATCGGTCGAAATACATCAGCGCTCAGGAATTTTTGAGAATATTACACATTAGAAAAGTTAAATGGGTGTTATCGAAAAATCAGACGAATATAGATTTTGTAACTATGGTTCAATAAAGTATTTGATGGTCGCCTTCTAGCATATTTTCATATGTAAAAACATTTGCCAAAGTTACAAGTAAATCAGCGAGCCGAAGATGTGGCACTCTAGTGGTGATTCGCACTTCGACGCGGATTTTGGCGGTTTTTGTGGTGCCGAGAGCAGAAGTTTGTTTCTAAAGCGGATTAACGGCAGGAGGGCGCTTCGTTGAAAAAAAAACAGTGGCGCAGCGTGCTAATGGAATCGAGCAATTAACTTGACACCGCGATCGCTCTTTCGCGCGATGGTGGCAATGTGAGAGTTATTCGTTGGCTTTTTATGCCGTGCTCATTGGATGCTCGCCCTTTTTTTTTTCGTGGTTGTGAACGAGAATAGTTTTTGTTCGTTATTTCTTATTTCGTGCGTACCCATGCGTCCGAACTGCAGCGACGACTGGAAATTAGTATTCCTCCGAAAATGGCGCGTCCAAGCCCCGAGTATTTTTTCTGCGGCCTTTGTATAACGAGCAACCAACGCGCATACTCTCGAAAACAAACAAAAAAAGAGAGAAAGGTTCAACGACTATATGGGCAAGAAACGAGAAAGAGAGCGAGGAGAGAGCGACTCTACCAAATAAAACGACGATGGTTGAAAGGCATCATAAACATCCACTAGAAGTCAAAGCCTAAACTCCCCCTTTCTCGGCAAGGGAAAAAAGAGAGTTCCCTTGCGCACCAATGAATCCCAGTTTCCCTAATGAATTAGCGGCACTCGTTTCCCTGCCTCTCGGGCAGCGAGGCGCACTAATTGC